CATTTGCTGAGCACTCCCTGCCGGGCCATGTATGAGAACAACCACATCAGTGGATTCCTTGAGAGCCACAGGCAGGGGTTATCTCTCCTCCTGATTTCAGAATGAGATTCCAAGGGTTAAAAATATCAGCTGACTAAAGATCCTTCTTGTAGGAGTCTGGAGAAATGAGTAACATTACCCAGGGCCTCAAAAATGCTGTTATTTCCAGACTGCTCAGATCCCAAATAATATTAAAGTGTTTCAGAATTAGATTAGACCTGATGACATTAAGCATTCTCCTGGGAGGAGGTCTGGTATTTCACTGAGGATTTCTGGTCTTGGTTTCACTTACATCCAACCTTCTGTAGTACCTTCTTTTAAGCAGAAAAAGCAGGTAAATTATTTGGTCTGACATATCAAAATTATTTAGCATGAGCACTTAAACGAGGTGCTGTTTCGTCAGCATATAGTTTTTTTGACTAATGCTGAGTAACCTGAGCTCCCTTTTGCATAGCTTTGACAGAGGATAGAGGCTAAATTCTTACCAGAGGTGTATTTCAGAGGGCTGAAATTTAGTTTTATTCACATAAAGGGAGGCACAAAATGAAATTGTTACCATAGTATGAGAACTACACCTTCACCACACAGTAGTCCTAGATTGAATCTATTTAAAATTAACCAGTCGGGTTCTGAGCTCCTGTTTGAATAGCAGCTAAACTTCTTCCTGCTGCTCTTACTGCTTTCCTTCTGCTCAGACTTAATGCCTTTAGGTTCACAGTGAGATGCCTTCAATGACAATCTTGGATCATTTTACTGTTTCATTGTATTTAGAAGTAAAAAGCATTTTCTTACCCAAACAAACAAAATCACTCTTTCCATTCACCCTTGCCTCTCTAACACCTTTATGCCTTGAGCATCGCAGTAATTTTTTGCAGTGATTCTCAAGCTGGAAGGATGAGAGAGGTAAAGGAAGTGGAGAGCATACCACATCCAGGAAGGCAGGGTTTGAAAAGGCTGGAAATGATTCCATTTCCGTGTAGCTGCAGTGACAGGACAGAAGCTGATGGGCCACTGAATGTGTGATCCCATTTATCTGATCCCCTTTCCACCTCACAGAATGGATCTCATTACATTGTAACATCCCAGCTCCTGGCTTGTCCATTCACTATGGCAGAAATAGCTGGAACTGCTTGGAAATCCCAGGCATTTGAGTCTGCCAGATGCTCTGGTTCCTAGTCCCTCATTCCCTCCAGCATATAAATCCACCACTGGCAATGATACCTCTGCAAGGTACACGAGAGAAGGGAGGACTAGGCACAATGATTCGCTGTACAGCCCACACCACTCATCTTTCCCTGTTAGTCTGGGGATATGCTGTGTTTGTGCAGAGAAAGACTAAAGAAGAGAGTTTCAAACCAGACAAAAGGCGTGCAATGTATGCAATGACCATACAAAAAAAATGTAAGAACAAGCCATCTGCTAGAATTGGCTCTTCTTCAGTTATTCTTTCCATATACCATATGCAAGCAAATGCTCGTGTGTTGCTTGCTTTGTACACCTTGTAGTGCTTGCAGCAATGTGGGGAACAAACGGGAATCTAACAGATATTCTGGGACCTCACTCTAAATATTTACAACCCAAATAACAGAGAACATTACAATGACAAAACAATTAATGAGAATATGTTCTGCCAATTTGGATGAAAGGTACTAGCATAGAAACGCTCTTAAATCTAGGCAGATGTGGAACAATGTGAGCTTTGGAGACTGACACTGGCACCTTCTCCTTAGACAGCTTTGGTCATGTGACGTGTATAGAAACAGAAACATGTTTACTCATATGTATTTCTCATAGGCCATTAAGCATTTACAGTAGTCAGGGTCAGCTAAAAACATACTGGAAACTGGGAGCTAGAGGTAAATTACTACATTACCCATTGCATTCTACTCCCAAGGCATGTTAAGTAAACTTTCCTATCTGACCATTCAGGAGCCACTCTGGCAGTCACACTCCCACCACCAGAGACTGTAACTGCTGGGACCAAAGCCTCTTTGCAGCTCCAGTGACTTGACACGGGCTCCACCTGATTCCCTACACACCCCACTCTCAATAAGACAAGTTTTCCTTACCAGCTCAACCCCAGGTCGAGCAGAGTCTCAGAACTCTGGTTCCTTTAAGTAATTTTATCATCATGCAACAACAGAGTAATAGCTCTGGGTGGGTGCCCCCGAGGAGGGACCCTGACCAAAGGACTCCCTGGGCTTTTATACCTTCTTAGTCTGTGCTCAGATAGCCTGGGGTCTTCCTGCTTAGTCCTCGGCTCCTGCTGTGTCTCTGAGTGGCAGGTCTCTCTTACCTGTCTGGGCCGCAGGTCCCTGTGCCCTTTGCTGTGCAAAATGTCAGTGCCAGTCCAGGTTCTCCTGCCCCAGAGCTTAATCCTCAGCCTGCACACTAAGCTACCTGCACTGTGTTCCTCAATAGGCAGTCCACAAAGCCTGTGAGACTCCCACCAGAGCTGTCTTGACCAGCAAAGCCTCACTGTAAACACACCATGACCAAAAAAACAATTAAATCTCCAAATTCTAACAAAATCTGTCACTCTGCTCTTCACCCACCTTACTTTCTTAACAGGACCATCCAAACTTAGTAATATAATTTTTCTATTCAATAGGGCTCAGACAAGCAAGAGTTTTATGTGCAGCACTAATAGGCTTTGCTGCAGAAAGGGAGATGGCATGGAGTCTTCAGGAGTGATCTTCACTTTTGATGCTCCAAGGAAGCAGGCTCTCATGCAGTTTTCTCCTCTCTTCCCCTTCTCTCCTGCTCTGCCTTCTTCTCAGATGGCTGGTATGGAGCCAAGATGATGGTACTGATGTGATGACCATGTAGGGCCACTGCCTTTCTGACTCAGAGACTGGGAACTTGGAGCCTGTAATGAAGGCCACCAGGCATTTCCTTCCATGCCTGCCAGGGAAAGTCCGTGTCCAACCTCCAGGGCTGCGTACTAGGCTCCAGATGGTTCCAGTACAGGTGACCACTGCATAGGAGTCTATTTGGAATGCATTCACTTACACTGGGGTTTTCTGAAGGTTTCAACATGTAATAATCAGAAGTAAATCAGCAAGAAAAACAGTTGCTGTCCTGCCATCTGCCTCTCTGGTTCTTGCTGTTAGCAGTGCTCTGAAGTACTTGAGCTATAAAATCTGAAAAGACTTTAAAAAGAAACTCTTTGCATTGACAGGTCCAAGGAAATATCCAGGAAACAAGTCTCTTACATTAAGAATTTAGGTAATATCTGGTTTTTCATGATCCACATGCCTTTGGGAGTGGTTTCATTTTAAATAGTGAAACTATATTGACCCAAAAATGCTTCTCAGAACTGGTTTCTCCCTGGTTCTTGTTCAGTAACACTCAGTTTGATCTTTCTATGGCCTTTTTCACCATCTTGGAATGATTTTATATACAATTACTTCTGTGATACATAAAAAGGGAAAAACCACACAATGGTCTGATCCAAATCCCACCAACTGCAAATTTGCATAACAAATGAAGATGACTATGGAGTCTCCCTCCCTACATCTTAATACTTTGTGTCATCAGGCACAGTAACGGTCTAATATATGCCCCTCTCCTTGGAAAGTGACCCTGTGCTCATGCTGCACAGGTGTCAAGAACAGCTGGAAACTCAGGGTCATGTATCTGATCCATTCACTCCACACATCTAGAAATACACCCATACCACTGTACAATAGGACTTGAACGACTCAGTTCACAGTTTGAATGTGAACTGAATTCACAATGGATTACAGCACTCCACTTGTGCATCTTGATCATCCCAGGTGTACGGGACAGCATATTGGCCTAAAAACTTCCTCACTTCCTTGTGAGATTCAAAACAAAGTCAGAGTGAGAGAGTAACAGACCCTGGTGTTGCTCCTACCTGAGCATGTTGGCAGACCCAAGGGCATCAGGACACAGTCCCTGTGCTGTGTGAGTGCCTGGGTGAAAGAGCCCGCAAGCAATTGGTGCTGGTTGAGCTTCCTGCAGCCAGAACAATAGTTTTTACAGACCATTAAATAAGCTGCTGCCATAGCATCACCAGATTTTAGCACAAAGATATAGTTCAATGAAGTCTAGGCCCATGCTAAACCCAGTTAAACCAACTGCCCTTCAACTCTCATGCAGTTTTCCCTGCCCTCTTTTGTCTTTAGGTCCAGAGCATTAAGTGCCCTGGGGCCTCAGCACATCAGGCTCTCCACATGCACAGTCTGCTCCATGACCCCACTTCATGCCTGCAGAATGCAGTTCACATGCACAGGGAAGCCCAAGCAAACATCCCATCACTTCGGTATTCCTAGCCTAAGCCTATTTCCTCTTTGCATTCAACAACAGCATAGCTGGGCCACTGTGGGAGAGAAAACAGAATTATTCCTTCAAGAATTCCCTGTCATAAGCAGCAATCTTTCTGGCAGCAGTAGCCAGGGGACTGCTGTGTGCTGACCCTCAGGCAGCCCTGCCTCTGATGTGGCTGATAGTTGGGGCTGTAGTGTATTCAGCAGCAGACCAGTGTGGTGTTCAGGCTGTAACTGGGCTGGATTAAAAAGTATTCACACATCCCCATCATGACTAGCTCTAGCTTTCCTGGAGACTATGAACTCCTCAGCCACCAAACTATATAAGTAAGCCACATCTACATTAGCTTTTTAGTTCAGATCAGGAGTTTGGTTTTGAAGTTAATTTCCTATTCACCTCACTTTGTTTCCTGTTGTGGTGCAGTCTCATACCTGGTAAACTGAATTCCTTTTGGATGAAGATAAAACAAAAGATGTGCTTCCAGGAGTGCACCTATATTGCGCCAGCTATTGGCAAGCATTCAGTTAACTGAACCAGAACAGAGCAAGTCTAAAATAATCTCACTCTGAAGCACATTTAGTGTGAATGTGAAATACCAAGGAGCAGCTCTATCGTTTTCCACATCTGCTCTTATTACACCACACTACTTATTAATGTAGATATGTTTACCTGTCAAAATGATCCAGACTTGCTTATGTGTCTGTTGAACCTGTTCAGACATTTTTATCAGAATAGATTTTAATCTGGAACAAGGTGGCCGAACTAAGTTAGGGAGCAGGGACACCTGCAGATTTACTGGCACCTGTGTGGGAATAGTAACCTCAAAGGAAGACAGCCAGAACCGCACGCTCAGCCTCAGGCCATTCCTGGGAGACACAGGTGCACTCAGCAACAAACTGCAGTTCAAAGTTGGCTTCAAAATTCTCCTTCTCCCCTCTGCAAAATGTCATAGGTTCACCCAGGCATTAAGGCTTTACTGATTGATGTCAAATTCCTCCTGGAACAGAAGAGTGCAGCTCCCCAGAAGTTTAATCTCCAGTTAGCCCCTGTTCCCACTCATAAGGACCTTCTCTCTCACCTGCCATTGAGATTTGAAAATTTTCTCTCCCTCACTCACAGAGCATCTGCAACATAATCTAACTTTCCTCTGCTTCTCCAGGGCTGCAAGACCGACTTGGTGCTCCAGGCATTCCAGCTCCTACAGAACAGAAGCAGAGCAGGGAGGGGGTGCTCAGTCTCAACACTAAGTCAGTTCTTCCCATCGTACTGAAAAACAGGGCTCAGGAAGTCATAAAGGGAGAAAAGAAAACTGGCCTATGTTTCCAGGTACTGGCATATAAGGTAGAAGATGATCTCAGCACTAACCATTTCAGACAAACGACCCTTTACTAATTCTTTCCATTTTAGCCTTGTCTCCATTCATTTTGCCTGAGACCTAGATCTATTTTCGGAAACCTTAAAAATATACAGGCAGTTGCCAGCCATTTTTATGCCAATGCAGGAACATTTTATACTGAAGACTCTTGGCTCTTGCTCAGATAGCAGGTTTTTTTCCAGGTGAACACCAAACCCTGACCCATGGCAATGTTGTCTAGGTAAGTATTGCATCTGTTTCTGGGCTAGAATGTGAAGTAGACTCAAATCCAGAACTTCACTGTGAAGGAGCTGCCTAGAGCAAGAGTCTATTCTGGGAATGCTGACACTACTTCTCCCACTCAGCTGATACAACCAGAAGTAAAGGGAATTCCCTCTCACCCTGTTAACACTACGTGGTGTGATCTGCAGTCAGCGTTGCATGACTGTGAGAGAGTGCACCCCTGCGCAAGCCTAACTCTACACACGCTCTGCACCCAGCTTTTTCTTTCCCTGTGGCAGGACACGATGATGCACAACACAGCACATACTACTTGGCCCAGTTAGACACAGGCACGACAGATGGCATCATTTATTTTTCTTATTTTTTTTACTAAACACAGGGCACCTCTGAGCAAAAAATTAGAGAGTATTGCAGCACTACAACATGCAAAAATTGTGAACTACATCACCACACCACACTGTATTTCATTCATCCACCCCTGGGCTGATGCCTTCTCTCTGAGAAAATGGATTGATTTGAAAGTGGCTCATTAATCTAAAGAGAAATTACCACAAGTTGTTCTGCCTTGCCTCAGTTTCCCTAGTTAATGCCTAATTACTGGGATGCTGATAGTCTTAATTAACTGTTGCAATGCACTCTAAGGGCCAAAGGCGAAAAAAGATTGTGGCATTACTCAGTTTCCCAGGATTCATTTGGTATTATGAGTACTCTGAGGGATTGACAGCGAATCTGCCTTATTCAGAGCTATTTTTTATCTTATTAGTCAAACCACTGGTCCCTGGGGAACTGAGCACGTGGGGATCTTATGGCGGGAAAGAATTAAAAATACTGTTAAAAACACTGCTAAGGACTCGCAAGAATCACAGGAAGAGATTTCACACTCCTGATCTTTGCCAATCTCTTGGATGCAGGAAGCTAAATCCTTTGCCCCAGCACTGCTGCTATCAGTAAATAAACTGTTTCTCTGGACAAAAGCCACAAGACAAGAAGAAGAAAATTGATACTGATTTTTGGGCGGTTGGCTCACAAGTTCTGAGTAGTTCCTCGCATTTCAGAATACAAGTGGTATTACTTTAACTGTGCATTTCTGCACAGTTAAAGCTTAGTCCACCTAAGCCTGATGTCTGGTACCAATATTTTGCCACAGGACAAGGAGATGTCAAAACAATGCAGTGTTCACCACTCACAAACTCCACTGTCTGTGTGAAAACCTTGAGCCTGACCTCTTAGTCCTTTTAATTTCAGCCAGAAGATCCTGTTCCTTAGATACATAAAAATGTCAAAAAACCAGTGCCCACCTACTTTTCTGGATTGCTGAGCAGTTGATCTCCCAAGATATTCCTTGGCCTAGGATGACTCGGCCCATTTCTCTCATGGATGCAGAAAAAAACACTGACTTTAAGACATCCAGGCTGCTGACACCTACTACAAACAGAGTAAAATTAGGAAGCTGCTTTAATCCACCACAGATGACCACAGAAAATTCTGTTTTCCTCAGGCTTTTTCCTCCTTTCCATGCAGATGCAGATGATTTTGAATTAATTGAAATGGTGTATTTTGAAGGGATTCCTATACCACATGATACATCACATACCTTGCTTGTTAGCATTAAAATGTAGCAGATGTCCCCTTCCCTTGTCCCAAAACCCACATAGAATAACCTACTCTGAGTCCCACAACCACATCCTACTGTGAGTGTTCAGTCCCTTCCTTGGGTCTCTGCATGTCCACAGCAGACCAAAACAAAAATACGCCAATAAACAACAAAGCTTAAAAAGTCAACACCGTCCCTGTGTTCCTCTTAGGTTAATTCACATGGACCATTTTTTTGGGCACTGGCATTACTTTTATATGTCTGCCTGCCATGTAAATTTTGTCTATTCACTTCAGGGAACATAGAAGGCCAAGCGTGAGGACAGAATATATGTTCAAATTACCTGAATCTATGCCAAACCATAGATGTGAAGTGTGTCAGTTTCCCTCCAGATGAATTTTCTGGCAATTTCTATTTTCATGAATTTAGAGGAAGTAGACCAACAAAATACAAATAAGATATTTATTTCCTTTTAGAGGGTTTCTTTTCACACAAGCTGTGTTTCTGTGAACATTAATACTGGATCTACATAGTTCTGGATCATTGACAGTAAACTTTTCATTTGAAGCAGGCGGGACATTTGTGTCTGATTAGCTAGGGCATTTTGAGTTTTGCTGACTTCATGCTTTAATGCTAGTACAATTCAGCAGAAATGAGATTTGATCTGGCATAAATCTGTAGGAACATGGACAAGTGATGTTTGATTTGTCTTCCTGGAACAAACAAGTTCAGCAAGGTCTTTTTAATAAATTTGAACCAGAAGAAAGAGTCACCTCTGGACTGGCTCCTTGTATCACTGGGCCAATGTGTTTCTGGTCTGATACTTAGAGTCTTAAATCTGGATTTACTGCCCTGGTGAATGATTGCTCTTCCACATTCTCTTCCATGTTGTTTTTTTCCTAGGTTTCCTTACTAAATTGAGTCAAATGTTCCAGGATGATTCACCTCAGCTATAAGCAGAAATAATCCTGTACAAACTAGTGGGAATCAAGTACACTTTGCTCCTCTCCCAAACTTCTCATCATAACCTAAAATTTTATCATTTCTACTTTTTTTACTGATCTTCTCTCTGCACCACTTCATATTTGTCATAACAAATGAAGTATTCTCACAAATCCCAAGCACACTACATCACAGTACTGTGCCATTTCTATCTCTGTCATACCCAGAAAACATGGTATCACGTCATGCCATAAATCCAAAATGGGAAATATTTAGCAGCAAAGAATACCTATGTCAAAAATCACCTGACAAATCCCATCCTGCAGAGCACTGGAGCAGCCAGCACCAAGTGAAGAGCAGTCTCATGTAGGGAGGTCATCCCTGTGCTGTGGGAATGAAATGGGAGTCAGCACATTACCCAAACTTCCTTCTGCACAATGGATCCATATCCTAGAAACACACAAACCAGCATCTTAGATGAACATTCACACCCAACAAAGCTCCTGAGCTGCCCGTCCCTCGACCCCAGAGCTGTGATCACCCACCCTCTGCCAGGTCTCACCCTGCTGCGTGGTCCCCTGACATTGGGCAGGCCACAAGTTTTCATAGGATTCAGCAAAAATCCCAGAGACAGAATAAGTGCATTCTAGATCTGGGAAATTCAGTGCTTAGACAAAGGATCTCCTCTCCTGCTCTGCCCTGCCAAGCCCACTCGAGAACCTCAGCCCCCAAATGACACACAGAACAACAGAACTCAATCCAAGGCCTTGACACCCACCAGCTATTACAGCAGTGCAAGAGCACTTTGCTCTCTTAGTTTCTTGCTCACTGTACAGCTAGGCAGGAATGAATATGCAGGGTCCTGATGCTGTCATTAGAACCTGGCCATTGACTTCACTGGATGCAGTGTCCTGGCATAGCTGTGCACGAATTCAAGTTCATTTCAGTTCCCAGTGTGGCACCGCGCAGCACTGGGAATGAAGAGCAAATTACTTAATAAGTGATAATCATCTTGTATATATAGCTTTGAGAAGAGCTTAGCATGGTGAAGAATTGAATGGCTTGATTCTTGCACTAAAAAATTGCTCATGGGCAACAGCCCACTTTTATATTCCAGTAAGTCCGAGTGAGAGTACAACCAGCAAAACTTAAACATGATTGTTATTTTTTGTTCAGTAAACTGCAAGACCATTCTGTTTCTTTTTAATGTTAGTCTCAAATGTGCTTTATTTATTATACTTCTTTCTATTCGTCTCTAGGCTGACTCTCTTCTAACTCTTCAAGTCTACTTTATGGTAAAATGTATCTAATCTTCTGATACTGTTTGGAGGATTAGCCATCAGCGCGCTTGTAGCAAGCGTGGGTAGAGCCCCTCTCAAATCTTCGTTCGCAAAGCCTAGCCATGATGATGATGATGATGATGATGATGATGATGTTTGGAGGAGTAGGATTGGTTTAAAGTCAGATTAAGACAATATATTCTATTCTGTAAAGTAGTGATTCATTTAATCTCAGTGTCTCTTTTTCCTTACCTATAATACAAAAACTCTTATTTCTCATATTTCAATAACAAAAAGTTGCACTGTAATTACTGATGTTTGTCAGGCACTTGGAAGGTGTGCAAGGGAGAGTATGAGCCCAAATAATTATATATACAGCACTGCATTTATGAAGTTTGTTACCTTGTTTAGAAAAAATCATAAATTTTGCAGATATCTCAAAAATATATATATATTCTTAGTATCTGGTATCTGAAAGTCTGCTCAAAGAGCTTGTAGCTAAAGGGTATGCTGTGAAATTCAGCCTAATTATTATCCTTCTCAGAAAAGTTATGAGAGCCCATCTCTGTGAACCTGATTGAGTTCTTCCTTACAGTGGTGCAGACTGAGTGCAGTGATTCAGGATTAACAAATCTGACTTGATGGGTCAAATTCCAGAAGAGTTTGTGTATCCAGGCTCCGAAGAGCTTAGGTCTTCACTTTCCAGGAATTGATTTAATGCTCAGAAAAGGAGGAAGAACATTTCACTGGCAACTCTGCTATACTGAGGGCTAGCTTCACCTTTCAAAATTATCAAATTAATATATTGAACAGTTTTATATAATCCACAGCTTTTGACTTAACTGCCTTGTTTGTAGAGTGACTTGAAATGAAAGTGGGTATTATAAAAAAATAAATGTCTGCTAATAATGAACTGATCTGATTTTGGTGAGGAGCTTCCCTGTGTTTTTCCTCAACTAAGAACATTTTATGTATTTCAGCTCTGCCTCTGAAGTAATCATGGTTCAAGGCATCAATATTTCATGAGGCATAAACGGTTCCCCTTTAGGAAAAGTAAAAGCAGTTTTTCCTGTTTGTGAAATTTCCACATTGCCAAGAACAAGAAAGCTTTCAAAACACTATCTTTGCTGCTTGCAGACCTTCACTGCCTTATAGGGTCTGAATCCCATGGATTCACGCTGGGGGCGGGCCAGGAATACTGGCTTTTCCTTCTTCTGGGTGATTCTGGGAGGCCCGCAAATGATGTCATGGTACATTTTAGGCTACAATAACAGGAAATCATCAAGTGTTTACACTGGCAGACTGGGCTGTGATGTGATTTTTCTTCTCTTCCTCTCTGCCCCCCCCCACCCACCTCACCCCTGCCATTGACTTCCTTGATATATCTGCTTCCTCTGATTAAAATACTACAAGGTGACAACACTGAAGAAGGAAGAAGGAAAGTGGGGGAGACAGAAAGGCATATTTTGAAAAAAGATGATTCCCCACAAATTACTAATAGAGAGCACAAGCCTCCTTCTCTGGCCCCACACACATTGTGTTAGTGCAACAGCCCAGACACGTCAGAAACTGGACTGCTAAGGAGCTGGAGATGAACCGCTCCCAGCTGAGACACAAAAAAGAAACTCTCCCCTCCCTAGCCCAGATGAGTCACAGAAAAGATCTCCCTGGCAAAGTTTTGCTTCTGAATTTTCCTGCCACTCAGGCACATCTGAAAATATATGGCATGGGCTTATGGACTCCAAGGAGGAGGCGGCCATGCTTTCAGGGTCAGAGGAAGGATGCAAGAGACCTTTACCTAGAGACTGTACTACAGTCTGTGGCAAACATCAGTTTTCAATCAAAGGTGAGTGAAGGTGCTGGGGTTGGACAGGACTTCAGGCAGTGCTTGGACCATGGATGCACAGTGTGAATGTTAGATATTGTGTCCTTTCCAACTTGCTAATACAAAGGGAAGAAGGAGGAAGATATAAGGAGGTATCCAGAAGACAAGGGATTCCAATGAGGTAAAAGAGACTAATTGGCTTCAGAACAGTTCATGTTTCCTTGAAGGGTACAACATGACTCTATCCTTCCAGCTCATTGCTAGGGCACTGGGCTAACAGAGTTCACACAAGCAGCTCCGAGTTGGGAGACACTAAGGAGTAGTTGGCAGGGGCTAACTCTAGAGCAGATAATCAGGATTTCTGGAGCTTAAGGAGAATGTGTGAAGAGACAGGTCATTTACACTCAATGTGGAAGGAAGTCTGAAACGAGAAAGACTGCAAATATTAAAGAAGTTCTCTGTAAATGACAATGTGTAAAGGAAGCATACCTCAAGATAAGCTGGCATCACTTTCTACACTGTCACAAGCCAAAGGCATTCAGTGAAACTGAAAAGGCAAATAATTTTAGCTATTTTTTTTTTGCACGGTATACACTTAACTTGATCTAGGATATCACTGGGACCACAGAAGTTCTCTCTGTTCAGGAAAGAATTGGACTTTTTACAGGTAAGGAGGTCCACGTTGCACAACATACAGAAACAAAGATTGGAGCACCAGAGTGTACAATCAGGCTAATTTCTAACCTGTCTCTTGCTAGACTGTATGTGACCTTACCCTACTGCAAGGAAATGGTAGAGACATACAGAAGTCCTGTCTCTATTCCTTGAGCTCTCCTGTTCCCTGTTTTTTCATGACACAGGATTTTCATGTCTTGCAACCATGTAAAGAACTGGTATGTGTCTTACATTGGGCCATCCTTAAGGAGAAAGGTCTTTTCTGACACCTTCAGCAACTGTTGATGTATTTGCAAAGAGTGCGCTTTCTGCTTTAAAATCCTTATTTTCTGTGTATGCTGTGTATCTGTGTTGGCCATAAGCTCCTCTGAATACAACCATAAAATAGTGATAAGGCACGACCCTGAAGCCATATGAGTGTCCTCTCCCTGAAACTCAAGTAGGGTATAACTTTGTCATTCCCAGAAACAAGCCCTAGTAAGCTCCCACAGTGGAGCATTTGCTTTCCTTTGCAAATAGGAAGGACACTGCATTATGACTGAGGAATACATGAGTCCAGTACGGGAGATATCCATCTGCCATCCCCTGTCCAGTGAGAGGGTTCACCATCTTGACCTTGGTATGAATCATTCTCGGTCCAAATTATATTTCTTTGGAGCTGAAAAATGGTTGTATAATAAAGGATGTGTTTGTTTATCCTTGCTGAGACTCTGAGTTGTCCACAGCCTCAGCCTTAGGCACAGCTGATAGAACCTAAGGCACTTGTCCCAGCTGATAGAGGTAATGAAGGCTTAGCTGATGCTACTTTTTCTGCCCTTCTTTGCTGCACAGAAAAGGACAGAGACAAGGCAGAGGTGTTTAATGCTTTCTTTGCCTTTGTCTTCAACACAGATGATGGACCAAGGGGGTCTCAGTGCCCTGAGCTGGAGGACCATGACTGCAAAAATTATCAGCTCCCAGTTGAGCCTGAAATTGTGCAGGATCTGCTGCTCCAGCTGGATCCCTACAAATCTCTGGGGCCTGATGGGATTCATCCCAGAACCCTCAAAGAGCTTCTGATATCATTGCAAAGCCTCTCTTGATAATTTTTGAGCAGTCTTGGGAATCCAGGGAGGTCCCAGATGACTGGAAGCTGAAGAACATTGTTCCAGTTTTCAAGAAGGGCAAGGAGGAGGACCCTGGAAACTACATGCCTGTCAGTCTCACTTCAGTGCCTGGTAAAGTTATGGAGATTATTCTGGGAGGTGTTGAAAAACACCTGAAACACAACACAGTCACTGGTCACAGCCACCACAGCTTCATGAGAGGAAAGTCCTGCTTATCAGGCCTGATTTCCTTCTATGACAAGGTGACCCACCTGGTTGATCAAGGGAAGCTGGTTGATGTGATCTTTTTGGATTTCAGTAAAACTTTCGATCCTGTCTCTCCCGGGATCCTCCTGGACAAACTGTCCATCCCACAGCTGGATAAACACATCATGTGGGGGGTGAGCAATTGGCTCTCAGGTAGGGCACAGAGGGTGACACTGACCGGGGTGACATCAGACTGTAAGCTGTCACTAGTGGGGATCCACAGGGCTCCATCTTGGGCCCTGTACT